TGTCATCAGCATCAGCATCATCGATATAATCATAGTCATCAACATCATCGTCATCATAATCAGAATAGTCATCAGCATCATCAACATCATCATCATAATCATCCTCAGCAACATCATCAACATCATCAACATCAGCATCGTAATCAGCATCAGCATCACCAGAATTGTCATCAGCATCAGCAGTATCAATATCATCATCGTCATCAGCATCACCACCACCATCATCATCATCAACCTCATCACCACCACCACCCCCATCCCAATCATCATCATCAGCAGCAGCATCATCCTCATCGTCATCAGCATCATCAGCATCATCTGCATCATCTGCATCATCAACATCAGCATCATCGTCAGCATCATCACCACCATCAGCATCATCATCAGCATCATCATCATCTTCACGAGCACCATCATCATCAGAATCAGCATGATCAGCATCATCATCCTCAGCAGCATCATCAGCATCATCACCATCATCATCAGCATCAGCATCATCATTATTATTACAACATCAGCATCATAATCCTCATCAAAATCATCAGCAACAGCAGCATCATGATCGACATCAGCAGCTCATCATCACCACCACCACCACCACCACCATCATCATCATCATCAGCATCATCATCATCCTTATCATCATCATGGCGCACACTGCAAGTCCCAGATTCCTCCACCTCCTCCTCCTCCTCTTCCTCCTTCTCCTCCTTCTCCACTCCTTTTCCATATACTGAACTCCTCCCTGTCGCACCCCGAGGCCAGTCGAGAGGGCGGGTTGGACGTTTCGCCTGAGACGTCCTCCCCATGTATGATCCTGAAGCTTCACATTTGCAACAGTTTCACGGATGGAGGGCGAAGGGATTTCAAAATGTGGCTCTCGCCTTAGCGCCGCGCAAACCCGTGTTAATGAAAACTACCAGAGTCTCACAGATGGTCTACAGGTGGTTTTCAAAATGTGGCTCTCGCCTTAGCGCCGCACACATTCGCTCTAAAACCATTCAAGAATTTCACAGATGGAGGGCTGGCGGTTTTCAAAATGTGGTTCTCGGCTGAGCGCCGCGCCCATTCGTCTTAAAAGATTGCCAGAGTTTCACAGATGGAGGGCGGGCGGTGTTCAAAATGTCGCTCTCGCCGTAGCGCCGCGCACATTCGCTCCAAAACCATTCAAGAATTTCACAAATGGAAGGCGGGCGGTTTTCAAAATGTGGCTCTCGCCTTCGCGCCGCGCACAGTCACTTTGAAATCATGCAAGAGCTTCACTGGGAGGTTTTCAAAAATGTGGCTCTCGCCGTAGCGCCGCGCACATTCGTCTCAAAAGATTGCCAGAGTTTCACAGATGGAGGGCGGGCGGTTTTCAAAATGTGGCTCTCGCCTTAGCGCCGCGAGCATGTGTGGTAAGAGTTTACAACAGTTTCAAGGATTATCATGTTTACGTAACGTCCCAGAAATGTTGTTTTGGCACGATGTCCGAATGTCAGTGCGCAACAGTTACGTCGATTCGCGGTGTTGAGTCCCAGCAACGGCGTTCTGGCAGGATTTAGGATCGGCAAGACGCAACAGTATCGGTGATTCGTTGCGTTGAAGTCTCAAGAGTGGCTTTCTGATACAGTTCACGAGTTTGAAGCGGTTGCCTTCCAAAGGAGCACTTCCCTCACTGAAAAAATATAACCTTGTAAGGTGCCTATGAATAGGGAACTTGGAGGGAGGGTTCATTGCAGTATCGTTGATAAGTCTTGGATTAACACTGGTCCTCCTTCTCCTCCTCCTCGTCCTCCTCCTCCTCCTCCTCCTCCTCCTCCTCCTCCTCCTCCTCCCCCCCCTCCTCCTCCTCCTGGAAAGGGTGCGCACGTCGGGGGACGGGGCGCGAGTTCCAGGCAGGACAGGGCCAGCCGGGTCTAGGCTGCCAGACCGTGGAGTCGCGCTCCGGCTGGTTCCTGAAGTGGTTCACCATTTCCTGCTTCAGGAAATGCCAGGACTGCCGCATGATGTCCACCTGTCCTCCGCCCCTCATCCCCCACCTCCTCCTCCTCCTCCTTCTGCTCCTCCTCCTCCACCTCCTCCTCCTCCTCTGGCCACTCCCCCTCCCCCTCCCCCTCCCACTCCCAATCCTATTCATCCTCCTCCTGCTTTTCCTCCTCCCCATCCTCCATTCCTGTTCCTTACTGGTAACTCCTACCATCACACCTCCAGATGTGTTGGTATGGCCGTCATGGCATTTCGCCTGAGACTTCCTCATCGTTCATGATCACGGAGCTTAAAAGCTTGCAACAGATGCAAGGGGGGAGCACACGTTGCTTTCAGAACCGAACTCTTGCATGATTGCCGCGCACATCCGTCAACACTTTGGAACAGTTATAGGAATGGGGCAGAGATCGTTTCCAAAATGGGGCTTTCGTCTTTGCGCTCCGCACGTTTGTCTTAAAAGCTTACATCAACTACAAAGACGGCGGGCGGTCGCTTTTCAAAATTGGGTCCTCGTCTTTGCGCCGCGTACATTCCCCTTCAAAGTCTGCAATAACTCGGCATGGAGGGCCGTGTGTGGCTTTCGCTGGAGGCTTCCTTAACCTGGAAGACCAGAAACTTCAAGAGATGGAGAAGCTGCACATTTGGAAAGCCGTTCTTTCAAGATGGCGCTGTCGCCTGAGCCTTCCTCGGAGTTCATGGGCAAACTGCAAACTCATGCAAAAAATTACACTGGAGGGGGGGCGGTCCTCTTTCAGAACAGGAGTCTCAATGGACACCTCCTTGAACTGTATGGTCAAAAGTTGTCGCATTCCTGAGCATACGTTATCAGGATACAAGGAAGTTCATTTTCAAAAAGGGGCAGGATCATAAGGGGTTGAACTTTCAAGGGGGCGCTACGTATAGTGAAAACGAAGTCTTACAGGGACTTGTGAAGAGAGAACTTGGGACGGGAGGGTGTATTGCAGCATCACTGACACATCTTGGGTTCTCTCTGGTCCTCCTCCTTCTCTTCTCCTATTCCTCCTCCTCCTCCTCCTCCCCCTCCTCCTCCTCCTCCTCATCATCATCATCATTCTTCTCCTCCATCCGTTCCGTAGAGAGAACTCCTCCATGTCGCACAACCAGACGTGTCCGTAGGCCGACATGGGCGTTTCGCTTGAAATTCCCTAGCGAATTACTGTCCTGAAGCTTAGAATTCCCGATAACTACTCGGATGGAGGCCGGTCGGTGTTCAAAATGTGGCCCTCGTCTGACATCTTCAAACAAAATGCCACGAGAGTGCACACGTGAAACAACTACATGGATGGAGGGCGGCTCCTTTTCAAAATGGGGCGCCGGTATGAGATCTCTTCCATAAGTACAAGCGAATAGTTTCAAACTGTGCACATATTACAAGGCTGGGGGGTGGTTCTTTTTCAAAGCGGAGCTTTCCCCAGACACCTCACTGAACTTTCTAATCCTACCCAGCCGCATGTCTCATAATTCGCTAGAAGAATACAAAGCAACTAATTAATTTTCAAAAGTGGGCTTTCGCCTGAATGGCATGTCCACTGGGTGCTCGTCGTTCACGGGGCGTAACTTGTAGTAAAGGGTAAAGGCTGTATGGTCTCAAGAGGAAGGAACTTGGGACGGAAGAGTGCACTGCACTATAGGTGATACAGGTTTGGTTTGCTCTGGTCCGACTCCTCCTCCTCCTCATCCCTCCTCCTCCTCCTCCTCCTCCTCTTCATCCTCCTCCTCCTCATCACTATCATCATAATCATCATCCTCATCATCATCAGCATCGTCAGCATCAACATCATCATCAACATCATCATCACCATCATCACCATCACCATCCCCATCATTTTCACCATCAACATCATCATCATCAGCATCATCATCATCAGCAGCATCAGCATCAGCATCAGCATCATCATCAGCAGCATCAGCATCATCACAATCATCATCATTCCCCCGAGGGAGCAGGAGGGAGGAAAAAAGAGGAAGGGGAGGAAGGGGGGAGGAGGTAGACGGGGGCAAGCGAGTTGCGCTCGCTCGCGCCATAGTTGTCATCCTACCCCTCCCACCCATCCCTTGCCATTGCGCTGTTTTTTTGTCCTATCCGCCGACGCGTGCCATGGAGGACCTGGAACTCTAGAGGACCCCATCGTGTCATGCGCAATATAGAAAAAAAAGAGCTGAATACAGTAGATGAGGAGGTGGCGGATGAGCAGGAGGATCAGGAAAAAAAGGATCAGGAGGAGGAGTAAGAGGAATAGGGAGAAGGAGGAGGACGAGGACGAACAGCAGCAGCAGAAGCTGGAGTGGAACGAGCGGAAGGAGCTGAAGGACCAGGGGAAGGTGGAGGAAGGGAAATAAGGGGGGGACAAAGAAGAAGAAGAAGAAGAAAAAGGATTCGGACCGAAAAAATGGCCCGCGCTGGGGCGAGAGCGCCGTTCTGAACGACGGGAGCCCAGCGCCGATCCGAAAATGAGGCCCACGCTGCAAAGGGAGCAAGAGCTTGAAACACCGAAAACGATCGGATCGTAAAAAAACATAAGTCGACAGTTGTCGAAGTCCTGCTTCCATTAAACATACGCGGAGAAGGCCGACACTCTTCCAGGCATGGGCCCAGGGGAGAGAGGAGAGCAGTACTCATGGTGTGTAATTGTGGAGAGGGGGAGGAGGAAGGGACGATAGGAGGAGGGGCCGGACGGGGACGAGGAGGAGGAGGAGGAGGAGGAGGAGGAGGAGGAGGAGGAGAGGAGGAGGGTGGGAGAGAGGAGGCGAGGACTGTGACGGGGAGAGGCAGGGACGATAGGCGGAGGGGGAGGCGGAGGGAGGGAGGGGAGGAGCCTCTGCAAGGTTTCAATGGGGGCCTCCGGAAAGCCCCCGAAGCCACCCCGGGGAGCACACCAAGGAGGGCTTCCGGAGGGCCTCCGAGGCCACCTCCGAGGGGGCGTCCGGAGAGCCTCCGAAGCCTCGGAAGGCCTCCGAAGCCGCCTCGGGGAGCAGCCGAGGAGAGCCCCCGAGAGAGGCAGCGGGCACGCCTTCCACGGGTAGTCGACGCGCCTCGCGCCCGCGCAGGGGCCGCCCCGCTGGCCGGCGGACGACAGCGGCAACGGCGGCGGCGTCGGCGGCGGCAGCGGCGGCGGCGACGACGACGATGATAACGACGACGACGACGACGACGACGACGACGACGACGACGACGACGACGACGACGACGGCGACGACGACGACGACGACGACGACCGCAGCGGCGGCGGCGGCGGCGGCGGCTTTGGCAGCGGCGGCGGCATCGGCGGCCGCCACTGGCCAGTCGCCGCGGGGGCCTGCCTCTGCTACTGCTACTGCTATGTTATTGCTGCTGCTATTGATGTTGCTGCTATTGATGTTGCTGCTGCAATTGCTGCTACTGCTGCTGCTGCTGCCGCCGCTGCTGCTGCTGCTGCTGCTGCTACTGCATGTGCTACTGCTACTTCCACTGGGACTGCGACTGCTCCTGCTACTGCTGCTACGACTGTTCCTGCTCTTGCTCCTGCTACTACTACTACTACTACTACTACTAATAATAATAATAATAATAATACGACTACGACTACGACTACGACTACGACTACGACTACGACTACGACTACGACTACGACTACGACTACGACTACTACTACTACTACTACTACTATTACTACTACTACTACTACTATTACTACTACTAACTACTAACTACTACTACTAC